TTATCATTTTTTACGTTCATCGGCACATTTGATTTATTCAAACGAAAAGACACATACGTAATAAAATTCAGCAATATTTGCTTGAGGTATGATCGTGCTTGATGGGGTAGTCGATGTGGTAGTCGTTGATGTAGTTGTTGAACTACTTGTTATAGTATCTGGTTTGGGCCCTGGTACGTTCAGTGGTGGTTTTGGTAGGAAACTAGGCTTTTGCTTCTTCTTGCACTTCCTTGGCTTCCTGCTTTTCGTTTTCGCAGACGACTTCTTTTTGGATGATTTATTCTTCCGTGGTTTTTTCGCTGATCTTTTCGATCTTTTCGATGCCTTCTTCTTCGCGTTCCTCTTTCTATGCTTCCTCTTCTTTTTCTTTTTTGATGATATCTTCGAAGGTGTTGGTTCACTGGGTGGTTGCTTGGGAGCTTGGGTAGTAGATGTTGTCACCATTGTGGTGGTTTCTGCTTTAGTGGTTGTAAATGTATTCGTTTCTGCTGTACTGGTTGTTGTTGGCTGGACCGTGAATTTCGCTGCATCATCGCTGAAGCTGCAGCCCATGAAATAGTCGTCATTTTCAAATTCCTCAAACTCTTCTCTAAATTGTATAAATAATGCAATTTTTATAAAAACTAAACACAAGAAACTCACTCCGAAAACACTGTCCCATTTACATCCTTGTATCGTGTTTTTGCTAAAATCTCTGCTTCTTTACTTAGTTCCTCTAATGTAAGCTTTTGGCTCTTCAAAATGTCACGAATCTCAGAAGCGTATTTCTCTAGCAGACAAGAATTATTGCTGAAAACTTGTGGGATCTTGGAAACTCTGATTTGCTCGTAAGCAATTTCTACGGAAGTTCAGTTGATGCCTTTTGCACTAACAGGACAGGGTTCGCTGGACTTTGTTTTTGGGGCAAAAAAGCGATGGGACATCGTTTTTTGTGGCCAGATTGCGGCTTTTTTATGGACGTTTCGTTTTTTGAGTGTTTTCTAAGTTTAGGGCTGAGAGTCAAAGAACACTTCGTAAAATTTCGCGAAAGTCAAGGGGGACTTCGTTTTCAAGAAGCCTAGAAA